GTCACATGGCAACCAGTACATGGACAGATTCCCATGAAGAAGCTCCGATTTTAGCCAATCGGGAGTCTGAATGAGAACCCACTGACATGCCAATGGTCAATGTTCTCCTCTGCTCCTTTTAACCCAGTCCCAGAGGACTTCTGCTGGGCCACGCTGTCTCCTCCAGAGGGGACATCGCCTGGGAATGACTCCATTGAGCTTTCTTCAAAATGGTCTAGAATTGAAGCATCCCAGGAATTCAAATTGGCTTTTGCTCCGACTGAACCTAACTGGTGATGTCATCTTTGCTGATTTTATACATAAGGTCATGTTTAAATGCTCTGTGACAGTGATTCGTGAACTGTGGTCCCCTGATTACACCAGCATCCCCTGGGAGTCTGCAAATTCCTTGCCCCCTTCCCAGATCTACTCATCAGACCCTGCAGGGTGGGGAAGGTGCCGCCATCTGTCGGAACCAGAGAGCACAGCCTTAGGCGGGTACGATGGGAGAGGGAGACGAGCGGGCCTGCCAAGCCAGGGACTTGTTGTAGCGGAGTCTGGGGTAGTGACAGGCTAGAACTCGCCTGACTTTATTCTCTGGCCTTGTACAAAGAGAACAGACATGGAAAAACACAGAGCCCCGGGTGGGAGGAATGAACTCCTCACACTCCACGTGCTCATGGTCCTACTGAAAGGAACCCAAGCCTCCAAACCAGCAGCAGATCCTGCCTGAGACATCTTTGTCATCTTAGGAAATGGATTTAACTCCTCCAAGCCTCAACTTTTTATAAACAGGGCTGGGTAAGGATGACAGTAGATTTTAGCTACTTAGTACTGAACCCTTAAAAAGTTCATTAATTTTAGGATCTCACTTAATCCATATAACAGGCCTATAGGTTCTGAGTATGATTAGTAGTATTTTCCATTTGATGGATGAAAAAAACTAAGGCACAGAGAGGTTGGTTAACTTGCGCAAGGTCACACAGCTAGCCCCCGCCCCGCTCAAGCATCCACTGCAGTTTAGAAACTGTAATCCTCAGTACCGAGGATGATAGACTAAGTTTATGCAGAGGCAGACCCTGGATCACAGGACCCAGGCAGGCTGGACCGTTGGACTCTTGGTTGCCAGGATGCCCCTGGTGACTGAGGGGCCGCCAGATTGATAGAATCAGGACACTATCAGATCTCTCATCCTTTGAGACCAGCTCAGAGGCAAGAAGAAATTGGTTCCTGACACATGTTGACAGGACTTACTAATCAGACTCATGTTTTCGTAAAATGGCAGTGACACTGTTTGCTGTAAAAAGGATCGGCTTAAAAGAAAAAGGACTGGCTACTGGTAGTAATGGGGTGCAGAGCCAGGAGTGCTGGGGGACAGTGAGGGAAGAGACACTCCCAGAGAGGCCCTGACAAAGCCCTTTCGGACAGTGCTCCCAGAGCTCTCCCCCACGGTACGAACCAGAACTCGGCACTCTTGGCTTCCAGAACCAGCAATGGCTCCCCATTACCTCCAGAGTGAGGTCCCAGCCCACAGTTCAGAGTCACCCGTGATCACCCCAGACTGCCTCTCTGACTCACATCCCCCTATTTCCTTCTTGGGTCACAGGCACCTGCCGGTACCACCACTTCCCCCCAGACATAGCAAGGTGCATTTATATCCCTTCCTTTCCCCACCTCTGTGTTAGAAAACAGCTGGAAATTTGAAGTTGGGAGCCCCACTGATGTTGCCTGGTGATACCTGACCAGGCATGATGGATGGACAGAAAGCCCTTCTGTGTGGGAGAAAAGGGGCTGGAAACGTCATTCTGTGAAATATGGAAAGACAGATGGATAGGAAACTCACTTGGTTCTCAAACAGCCCTCACCAGACAGCTGACACTTCCCAGTTATGCTTAAGAGATGTGACAATCAGTGAATGTGGATCCATTATCCGTTTTCCCGTAAGACTTCGCAGGTGGCTCAGTGGTAAAGAATCCACCTGCCAATGCAGGAGATGCGGGTGCAGTTCCTGGGTTGTGAAGATCCCCTGGAGGAGGAAATGGCAACCCACTCCAGTATGCTTGCCTGGAGAATCCCGTGGACAGAGGAGCCTGGCGGGCTACCGTCTGTGGGGTGGCAAAGTCGGACACGACTGAGCAGGCGTGCACAGGCAGGCTCTGATGAGTTCCAGGTGAGCTGGGGCTCAGTCGTGTGCAAGGCGACAGGGTTCCACTCTGGGGAGGAACTCACACACATCATTCTTGTGGGCATAATGAAACCACAGATCCAGTATGGTCCAAGGCACGTCGTCAGGCAGCCAGGACTAACTGATCAAACACATTCCTATCTGGGCACGCACTCAACCACAGCTGTGCCTGGGGACCACTGTCAGTACCTGGACTTATTTTGTCACTTGGTTTTCCCCCCCTGATTATCACCATTTTAATTTTATTTCTTCTTCATTTACAAGAATATATTAAGTATGCAATTAAAGTATATAAATAAGACAAAGTGTTTAGGCTTTCAATACATGCCTACTCATCTTTACATAGCAAAGCGATAACTATCTCTATTTGGGCTGACATATAATTAGTGCTTAGTAGGATAGTATGTTCATTTCAAGCCATGGGTCAACAAGCATTTCTATAGAGGGCCAGGTAACCAATTAATCAGGTGTTATGGGCCACGAGTTAAAGTCAGTGATATCACATAAGAACTTTCTGTGGCAAGAGAGAAAATAAACGTCCACAAGTTTTTGAAATTCAAAATAAAGTAGGATAATTAGAACAGGCTTTTATAATACATGTTGTATTAGTCAACTCGGGCTGCCATAAAGAATATCATAGACCAGGGGGCTTAAACAACAGAAATGTGTTTTTTTACAGTTCTGGAGGATAAAAGTTCAAGCTCAAGGTGCTGGCACGATTGGGTTCTGGTGAGACCCCTCTTTCTGGCTTGCAGGGGCCCCCTTTCTCAGGGTGTCCTCACACAGCTTTCCCTGTGAGCACACCCAGAGAGAGACTAACAGAAAGAAAGCCACCCATCTCTGGTTTCTCTTCTTCTAAGGACACAAGTCCTGTCTGATTGTAGCCCCACCCTAATGACCTCATTTAACCTTAATTAACTCCTTAAAGGCCCTATCTCCAAATACAGTCACACTTTAGGGTTTCAACATATTAATTGGGGGAGGTGAACCATTCAGTCTGTAACACAGGTCTGCTCATGAAAAATGGAATTCTTTTGGGGCAGAAAAACATGTCACTAAATTGGAGTTCAAACGTAAAATGCATTTGAAGCTGATGGTCGCTACAAGAACGGGCAGAAGCTGTGTTTGCCGTAGTTGTGCCGACACTCGTGGAAAGACCACATGATGGAGAAGGAAGAACCTCGGCTTTGGGGTCCAGCTGGGCCTGTGTTGAAACCCCAGCTTTGCCTCCCTTCCACTGTAGTGACTGGATCTCTGTGAACCTGGGTTTTGCCGTGTTTGGGGGGAGGGCAGGAGGGGGAGGGAGGGAGGAGGACATACAGGTCTCCCTAAAAGGAAAATAACTCCAGAAGGGAAAGTAACTCTCTTGGGTTTCATAAGGGTATCAGTCAGGAGTGAAAACAGCCAAGCATAATGCTGGATATACACTGCCCCAGGGAGATGACAACCAGTATCACCCTCAGCACGGGAGTTCTGGGGAGTGGGCGAGAACTCCAAAACAGCTGGAAAGATTTTACAGATTGAGGATGTCGTCTGGATAGGATGTGATGAGAGCAGCCGTTTACCTCTGTGGTAAATACCAAATATTTGACCAGAACCCCTCCACGGTTACTAAAACTAAGGCAAGTCTGAGAAACGGTCATAGCCCAGAGGAGCCTAAGGAGACATGGTCGCTATCTGTAATGCAGGATCCTGGATGGGATCCCAGAAGAGGAAAGGGACGTTACGTAAAATCTAAGCACATTTGGAGAAAGTTTGGACTTTAGTTAATAATAACATATCTGTACTGGTTAACTGATTGTGACAAGTACACCATATTCATGTAAGATGCCAAGAAAACAGGATAGTGGGTGTGGGGTCTACAAGAATTCTCTCCACTAGCTGTACAATTTTTTCTGTAAATCAAAAACTTCTAAAATTTTAAGTTTATTAAAAGGCAACCCTGCATAGGTAAGAGATCCATTCAAAGTGCAAGGTGGACCCGTGGGTTTTATTGTATTGAAAACAGGGATGAAAGGCTGGTTGATATGTTTCAGACTCTGCATTAACTTGCTTTGATCCAGGGATCGATCCCGGGTCTCCCGCATTGCAGGCAGATGCTTTAACCTCTGAGCTACCAGGGAAGCCCTCTGAGGAAACTACCACTTGTCAAATTTTGATTAATAGCAAACAAAAATAGTTCAGTTATCTGGAAAGGCTATTTTAAAATGCCTTCCTTCCTTTTTCAATTCCTAATAAGTGTAAAGTCAGATTTTCTTCATGTATTTCAAAGAAAACCACATAATGCAAAAGATGAAAAGTTAAAGCAGTCACGGAATTGAGAAATTCTCTACTGAGCCAGTCATCAGAGGTTTGCAAAAATGTAAACAAGGCCACACTCTGACTCAATTTTCCTGTTTGGGAAAATACAGTTATTTCTAATTACAAATATTTATATTAACATGTTGTTGGTTTGCTATTTTTAATGAATTAATAAGTAGTTATTTTACTTTTTCCTAAGTTATAATTTCTCATATGGTAAATACCATGAGCTATTAACCCATATGAACAGAAACTCTTTGAGGTTCTCAATAATTTTTGAAGAGTCTAAAGGCCCTGAGAACAAAATGTGTGAGAATCATTGTACTAAACAAACACTTTAGTCCTCACAGCTACCTGCTAGGTAGGTAGTATTATTATTCCACTCTGCACATGAGAAAACTGAAGAACAGAGAGGTTCCATAACTTGCTCAAGATCACCCAGGAAGTGAGGACTGGAGTGAACCCTGGAACCTGGGTCATGATGCGCTCCTGACTGCCTCGTGTCCTGGGGGTCCGCCCCCACCCTTCCTTCCAGGTCTGTGAGCTCTGCAAGGGAGTGGCCCCCGCCGAGAGCCCTGTGGTCTACTCAGACAGGGCAGGCTACAGCAAGCAGTGGCATCCTGCCTGCTTCGTGTGCACCAAGTGCTCTGAGCCGCTGGTGGACCTCATCTACTTCTGGAAGGATGGGGCGCCCTGGTGTGGCCGTCACTACTGCGAGAGCCTGCGGCCCCGGTGCTCCGGCTGCGATGAGGTGAGGACCTGTGGGGGTGGACAGTGGGGTAGGCATGCCTCTGACTGCAGGAGAGGACCCCGAGGCCCAGGAGAGTGTGGTTTCGCCAGTGATGTGATCCACAGGTAGGAAGACTGGGGTGCAGAGCCTCCTTCACATTCTCAGCCTCTGTTTTCCCATCTGCAAAATGGGTAGAAATTAGTTTCTGCCCCCAGGTCTGTTGGGATGGGTGGGACACAGAGCACCTGTCAAATCTTATCCTTGGCAAGAGGCCCAGCACTTAATAAGTGCTCAGAACATCATGGGGCGTCACCCAGAGGCAGGCAGAACACGTTCACACCTGGCTCTGCATATGGGTCCCTAACTCCTGTGTCGCAGTTTTATCACCTAAAAAGTGGGAGGGTAACAGTGCCCACCCCGTGCAGTTGCTGTGAGGACAAACGAGATCATGCCCGAAAATGCTTGGCATGGGCCCAACCTAGTGACTGAAAAATAGGAGCTGCCTTGACTCTCCAGTTCAGTTCAGCTCAGTTCAGTCGCTCAGTTGTGTCCGACTCTCTGCGACCCCATGAATCGCAGCACGCCAGGCCTCCCTGTCCATCACCAACTCCCGGAGTTTACTCAGACTCATGCCCATCGAGTCGGTGATGCCATCCAGCCATCTCATCCTCTGTCGTCCCCTTCTCCTCCTGCCCGTGACTCTTAGGATCACGTAATACACGATGAGACAACAGTATTATCATAACATGTAGCATCAACATAAGACAATCCAACAGATAGAGATGCTAGGAAATGGGTGCAGCTCTCCAATATGGGTTTAGACCAGAGGCACTCACAGGTGTGTGAATAGTGACAGTAATAGCTATGACAGTAACAACTACTGTCTGCATGCCCTTGGTGACAGGAAATTCGCTACCTTCACCTTTGGCGCACGTGAGGGTTAGAAATGCCTTCTTCACTTTGCACTAGTATCTTCCCCTCCCACCTTCCACATGTTGGTCTCTATGAGAAGTTAAGAACCTGTAATCCTCCTACACCGTAACTGTGTCAGCAAGAGCATTAAGAAAGGAAAAGGGCTGTGAGCAGGCCTGGCCCCCAACTCACACTGTGAGGACCACGGTATGCTCGCGGTAACCCCTCCTCGTCCTAATGTGCTGTAGACTTTTCTGTGACATGCCATTTACATCTCACGACAGCCTTTTAGGGGGAGGGAGTCACTATCTCCATCTGACATCTGAGGAAAATGCAGCTCAGAGGGGTCAGTGCTATTCACACAGCCTTGACTTTATCTCCGTTACATTCCGAGTACTCCATCTGCAGCAACACTTGGAGCACTCATAAAACCCCCTGGGCTGGGTGGTATTTATATCTCCATCCTCCAGATGTGGAAACTGAGGCACAGGGAGGTTGAGAAATTCGCCCCAAGTCATGCGGCCATTAAGTATTTAAATCAACATTCATACCTGGTCCCTGTTTGACCTTGAAATGAGAAGGCACATTTAACCAGTTTGCTGTTCCTCTCTCTGGTTCCTCACCAGATCACACACATGTCCCAAAGTTTACTTTGCTCCAAGCCCAAGTCACGCTGGGTGTGCCTACTCTTGCAGACTGGCCATTGGCCACTTGGCTGTAGTGAGGCGGTCTTCACCAGCTCAGAGCATGACTGGGCTTTGGATTTGACCCACAGAGCATCACAGATGCCAGATTCGTAAAACCTGCCAATAGTGGAGGGTTGTTGTGTTTTGTTTTTTTCCATCCAAGATGCTAAGATGCAGCCATGATCTTGATCACATACTGTACTTACTGCCTGAGACTTATGTCTGATTTCTCCACTGAAGCATTTAAAGGACATAACAAGGATGGGGGAAGAGGGACCACCTCTCACATGCTGTCTCCTCAAGACAGAACCTGAGTCATACGTGTCTTCTGCTCCCCTCTGCAGATAATCTTCTCAGAGGACTACCAGCGTGTGGAAGACCTGGCCTGGCACCGAAAGCACTTTGTCTGCGAGGGCTGCGAGCAGCAGCTGGGCGGCCGGGCGTACATCGTCACCAAGGGTCAGCTCCTGTGCCCGACATGCAGCAAGTCCAGACGCTCCTGAAGGGCTGACTGCCCGCGCCCGGAACCCACAGGGTCCTGCCGCGGAGGGGAGCCCAGCGCGCCAAGGCCATCCTAAGGGTCTGACGAGACAGCCAACAACAAAAACAGTCATCTTTTTTTCGGTGGGAATATGTATATCCACATATATTCTAAGCTGGGTGGTGATGGACCCTTCAGGGTCAAGAGTTTCAAAGCCAAAGATGTTCGGAGAAGTCTTAGGATGCAGTTGTTCTGTTGTTGTTGTTGTTGTTTCCCTGCTACCAACGAAAGTCATCCTGCCAGGGCTCTCTAGGAGGAGTTTCCCAGAATGCAACTCTGAGTGATCAAATCCTGTAGCTGTAGGGTGTGCGTGCTTTCTCATGAATGTGGAGGCTCCTCCGGGAGCAGCCTGGGATCCCAACGATCTTTTGTTGCCTCCTTTTCAAATGGGATTTGACTTTTAAATAAAAAAATAATGTTGGCATGATAAATACACCAATAAAAGTTTTATGAAGTTCGCGTACACCTTGATCTCATTATTTATTTCCACATGGCCAGCATTTCAGGGCATCTATTTTGCCCCAAGACCCTGAATGCTGGCGCTGGTGGCAGAAGGCCCCGGGAACGCTGGTGCATCTCTTCTTCAGCTGTGTCTCATCAGACTTCTTTGGGGACTATAGGTCCTCAGGGCAGAACCCCCATAGCCCAGTTCCAGGTAGCCCCAGGACACTGATGGAAATGAGAGTGTTGTGTTTCACGGGAACCTAAAAGCAGCCTCCTAGAAACAGGAGTGGCAGTTCACTGCTCTCAGAGCTGAGGCAGGTGATGAGTGAGCCCCTCTGGGAGTGAGACCAGGTGGAGTGTTCAGAAAGGGCCACCTCAGCTCAACCAGTGGGTGCCACGTAGGACATGCTGACCAGCGCAGGCCGACCTGAGGAAATATGGACTTCATGAGAAATCACTCCCTTTTGTAAATGTTGCCAACCAAACAGACTAGCTCATTGACTAGTCTCTCTTTTATGACCTCGGTGCACTTACAGCCTCCAAGTTCATTTCCTTCCCCCAGTTTTAGGAAAAAAAGACATGTCCCTTTCTACTGGGGATTTCAGTATAAAAAGACCTGAGTCCTAGTAGCTCACAGTCCAGTCAACCATGGCCTCTCTTTCTTAAACTGCCCATCTGTTGCCCAATTTCTTTACCTTCGCCACCCAGCTTTCACTCACATCCTCTTGTCTACAATACCCCATTCACGCGCTTCGCAAGCCCGGTGACAGCTATGGCCACACCCTGGTCCTCTGTGGTCCTGTGTCCAGCTGCTCTCTCCGGCCACCCTGTTTCTCTTCCACGTCCACCTTCTCAGAGAGAAGCTTCCAGATGCATTCTTCCCAGCTCCCAGTTGCCTCTCAAGAACCAAGTCCTCACCCTGACATGTAAATCCCTCCAACACGTGGCTTAACTGTCTTCCTGGTCTTAAAACCTTTCTTTCTCTAGATTTCAATTTCCTGATTTCTCTTAAACATGCAAAAACTCCTCTGGATCAAGACCTCCCCTTCTCCCCCCATCCCTTCTCTGTGCTGGTTCCCTGAAGACCAACTCCTCCCAACTGAAATTCTGTCCTAGAAGGTGCTTCTGAAACATAACCTTCTTCTCAGCCCTTCCTGTAGCACCAATGGAATATTCACTCATACATTCCCTCATTCATTCATTCACAAATATTCACTGAGCATTATAGAGTTCCAATTCCGCTGCTGAGTACAGGTGGGGATGGTGCTCACAGAAAGAACAATGCCCCAGACTTTACAGTCTGTGCAGGAAATGGTCCTTGGGCAAATATTCCCACAAGTAGATTTAAAATTACTACTGCTATAGATGCTATAGCTTCCCAAGTGGCTCAGTGGTAAAGAATCTGCCTGCCAATGCAGGAGTCACCGGAAGCGCAGGCTCCACCCCTCGGTCAGGAAGATTCCCTGGAAGAGCAAATGGCAACCCACTCCAGTATTCTTGCCTGGAGAATTCCACGGACAGAGCAGCGTGGCAGGCTACAGTTCACAAGACGGCCAAAGAGTCAGACACAACTTAGCAACTGAGGACGCATGCTCAGTATACACATGGATACTCTAAAGGTGGTGGTGGGGAAACGTGTCTCTATAAAGCAAATGAAAGAGATTGGGCCCAGTCAGGGATGTCTGGAAAGGTGTTCCTGGAAAAGCAACATGTGAACTGAGATCTGAAGAGGGAAAGGAAGATGTTAAAGATGATGCATGGATAGCATGTGCAAAGGCCCTGTGGCTGAAGCAGTGCCAGTTTATTCAACACCTGTTTATTGCTGTTGGAGACACAGTGGTGACCATGGCCCATGGACAGGTGTGGCAGGTCCAGAGAGGGAGCATGGATACTGAGGCACAAGGGGGCCATCAGCTTTGTGGGTAGCAGACAAGACCGGTCTCTGTCCTAAGAGCAACAGGTAGCCTGCATAGAGTTTTCAGCAGGGGTTGGTGATGGCTGCACAGAGAGACCACGGGATACATGAAGCCCCAGAGTGATGCCTGACTGAGTTTGTCCTGGTGCCTCTGTCCACACTATTGTGGACAGGACTGATGTCCCCCACAGACCCTGGTGGACACCACCCAGAGCACGCTGCTGCCTTCCCAGTGTCTACTAATGACACTGACCTTGCACTTGGAACAGCCGAATCCCCTCTGACACCCCTTCTGATGGTCACTCAATGCAGTCCTCTCTCCCATCACCTCTTCCTCATCCCCAAGGCTGCCCTTCACCTTGGATGTTTTCTGCCCAGGTTGACAATGGTCCCCTAGTGAGTCTTCCTGCCACAAACTCATTCTGTCCACACACTGCTCAGCTAGACCTTTCAGAAACACAGCCTTGCCGGGCGCTCTGCTCTACAAAACAGGGGCCCCTTGTTCACACACAGGAGAAGGTGGAAAGCTGTGTGGGCTGCCCTGGTGGCTCCGCTGGTAAAGAATCCGCCTGCGATGCAGGAGGCCTGAGTTCGATCCCCGGGTTAGAAAGGTCCCCTGGAGAAGGGAACAGCTACCCACTCCAGTATTCTGGCCTAGAGAATTCCATGGACTGTATAGTCCATGGGGTCACAAAGAGTCGGACAAGACTGAACGACTTTCACTCCTAGCTTTGTAGTCAAGCTTCTTAATTTTCCCGGCCCCAACCCACCTTGCTTCCCACTCTCCTTTCAGAAGCCAAATGCACACACCTCAGCTTCCCCCATCTCTGCTGGCTGCTCCAGCTGCTCGCCTTGCCCAGAGTTCCCCCACACGGTGCCCTATTACTGCCTTGTCCATGGGGCTGCCAGAGCTAAATGGGATTCTGCATCAGAATTGGAAGGACATGTGCTCTAATGTGTTATAACTCGTGCATGGTTTATCCCCACGTCAGCAGGAAGAGCAGCCGTCACTCTCATCACTCCCATTCCCCAGCCTCACCCTCCCTACAAGAGTGCTGTAGGTGCCCTTCCCCTTCACCTGCGTTCCCCAAATCCCCCAGGCTTACGGCGATCACTGCACTGACTCTGTTGTGCTATAAATATTAGTTAGAGAAAGGCTCCCCTATGCGCTTTTAGACAACACATACGCTCATCATCTTTGGTCTCCAATCCTTAGAACAATGCTTAGCAACTAAATCAAAGAACAAATTGCAGAGGGCCCTGGGATGATTCGTTGTTGCTAATGGCAGTGGGTTCCAAAAGCGCCTAAATCGAATATGGGAACTTCAGTCTGAGGCAGACACTGCTGGCTCCATTTCCTTCTTGGTGCGGACAGCCCACTTCCCATGACATACGCTCATTCTCCCAGCCTCTTTGGCAGCTGGAGGACAGGCACGTGACTTGCGCCACGCCAGTGGGGCTTCGCCATAGGGAGGCTACTTAAAAATGCTTCTTTGAGGAAAAGAGATGCTCTGGAGGGAACAGTCCTACTTTCTTTTTCTTTTGATATAATTTCAAACTTCGAGTCTCAGAAAGAGAACAAAGAACTTGACTTCTTGAACTGTGAGAGCCTGGCTGACACAATGCCCCGCTGCTCCTGAATATTTCAGTGTATGATCCCTACAAACGCAGACATTCTCCAACCTAAGTGTGAGATAACATCAAAAATAGGGACTAACATCCTACCTTCTCATTCTCAGATCTCGGTCACGCTTCACCAGTTGTCCCAATAATGTCTTTTATAACAAAAAAATCTAGTCCAAGATTACGTACTGCAGTTACTTAACTTGTCCCTTTTAGCTTTCTTCAGTTGGGAAGTAATCCTATCTCTTGCTGTGACAGTTACCATCTTAACATCTTAAACGATTAAAGGTCACTTAATGAGTAGAATGTCCATCAAATTGGGTTTGAGAATTGATATTCTCTTATAATTAGATTCAGGTTATGCTTTTTTGGAAGGAAGGCCACAGAAGTGATGCTGTTTTCCTTTCATTGCATCCAATAAGATAATACAAGATTTTTATTTGTTCTATCAGTGTTGATATTAATTTTCAACACTTGATTATACTAGATCCTTCCATTATAAAGTTACTCCTTTTCTCTGTACTTAATGACTATTTTGTGGGAAGATACTTTGAGACTATGTTAATATCCTGATTCCTCATCAAAATTCCACCCACTGCTTGTCAGTATCTATTGAGGTTTCTTGAATGACTTAATTATCACTACAACAGTTGCCAAATGCTGATTTTTTTCTAATTCAATCATTCCTTCCATATTTATCAGTTAGCATTCTACTCTAAGGAAAAGCTTTATTTTCTCCCTATTTATGTATTTATTCATTGTTCTGTCAGTTTGGAGTTATAGATGTCTATTTTATTAAATTGCTTATGATCTGCTATTCTCACTATTACTTTTGATGCTCAAAATGTCCCAAATATGGCCAACAAAAACTTTTACAAGCTGGCTGTTATACTCTTTTGACAGGTTGCCATCATGCCTTGAACATAATTTTACATTCTGGCACCACAAGGAGCTCTCAGCTCATTTTGTGCTTTTCCTGC